GGGGAAGCTCTGCACGGTGGCACCGACGTCCCCACGGAGACCCCGAGATGCTTCCAGCACCTTCTCATGACCCCAGACAAGCTGTGCCACCACCCTGGGGCTGTCCCTGCTGTCCTTGACCACCAACCACCTCATCCCTGTGTCCTCCACTGAGCACCACAAGGAGCACAAGGATGGGGGAGCAGCACCCCTGGAGAGCACAGTGCCAGAGATCCCTGGGGACCCTCAGTGCCTGGGGCCTAATCCTGCTCTCCAGGGAGATTTAGGGGGTCCATAAGAGGAGTCTGAGCCCCTCTGAGCCTAGACACCCCTCCAGGGGAGTCCTGGGCCCCCAGGACAGGGAGGTGCCCCCAGCACTGTCACTGTCCCCAGCTTGGTTTGTGCTGAGCCCTGACGCACTCAGTTCACCTCTCCACGAGGATGAGGAGGCTCCAGCAGCTCCATCCCCACCCCGGAGCCACCACACCAGCTCACGGGGCAGGAATTGGCTTCCTGCAGCCCCAGCCCGGGATGACAGGGGGACAGGGACAGGACTTCCGTGGAGCCTCACGTCAGGACATCAGGATGGTCTCTTGGGAAACCTGGGGCTGAGTCAGGCACGGGGACAGGTTTGGGGTGAATCACCAGCCCTGAGAGCCAGGCGGGACCGTGACTCCACAGCCCTGGAATTCGGTGTCGGGATCGGGGCAGGAACAGCAGGAGCTACACGGGCTCCATAGCAGGATGCAGCAGGAGAAGTCACCTCCAGGTCAAGCTCAGGATCCTCACTCAGGGACATCCCCATGGGCAGGGAGAGGTGACCCTGGGAGGCCCCAGAATGACTTGGGGGGAGACAACATCACAGGTCAAGCTCAGGAGATGACCCTTGGGGTGTCCATCACAGCTTGGGGGGGCACAGAGCATCACAGGACCCTATGTGATGGGGTGACCTCGGGTTTGGGGCACACATACATCCCAAGGGATTGATGTCCACCACCATCTCCTGCTCCTGGTCTTATCCACAGCCTGTGTGGTTGTCCAGGGATGGTCCCAGTGGCCACCAGTGACCCCTTGCCAGCCCCATCAGGGCTGATTGGAGGAGCCAGTGGTGCCAAACCCAGTGCCGTGGTGATTTCCCAGCCCAGCCCCAGCTCCCCCTACTCCCAAACTCCAGAGCCTCTTCCATGCTGCAGCGATGGGACCGAGACAAGATCGGCCCAGCCCCAGCACCAGCAACTGGAGCAACTGGTTTAGCTGGGTCAAAGTGGAGCACAGGGAGTCGAAGTGGCTGAAACCTGTTCCAAGCTGTGTGTAAACCTCCTGGCATGTCCCTCTGCTCCGGGTTTGGAAAGAGCTTGTCCTGGGGATGTGCCAGCTG